ATCATCTTAATCATCCTCATCACGTGATCATCCTTATCATGTGATCATTCTTATCATGATGATAATGATTAATTATCATTTTCAACATGAGCATCATCATTGTCATCACCTTCATCATCATCATTATTACCATGATATCCATAAATGCCAATGATGATGATGATCATCATCATTATCATTAGCAAGGCTTTTTTTATACCTTTACTTGTTTCGCGAACAATGATGATAACATTTTCTTTTTGGCCATTTAGTGCACCCGTCGCTACAAAAAAAAATGAAAATAAAAAAAAAAAGTTTTTCTTTATAATTATGTTGCCTGCCGCTGCCTTGAACTGTCCAGAAACAATATATGTATATTTTTTTTCTAATTATATAAATTTAAAGCATTCAATCATCCCCTTACTATACTAATTTTATTATCCATCTTGATGATTTTAGCAAAACTATTTTATTTAAGTTTTTTTCACCCTTCTCTGATGATCTTAAAAAAAAATAAGTTTGCAAGACAAGGTATAAAAAAGTTTTTCCTTATCAAATTATCCCCATCATTATTACTGTTAGCAGTAAAATACAATCATTACTACTTTATTCATCACAACCATCATTATCATCACTAATGTTAACTGTTTTTAATAATATCTCCATCATAACAATCCATCATTATCTCCATCTCCACTCAAATATATTGAAATTCAATGTATGCATTTGTCAGTCTAGCCTCAGATTAACCTGTAACAAACTCAAACTTGAAGTCGAGGTCTTGAAAATCAACGAGCGGTTCTTCTTCACACTTGCTTTCTATTGTAGTCAAGACGCTACTGAATGAGTTGTCATAAGGCAACAGATAAAACAAATTACTAAGAATGCCATCTAATACCTCACTTCAAAATATTAACACTACTCCAACGTATTATGACACATCAGCGCGGAAAGAAACGCACTCCTAAGTGCTTAGGCATCGCACGCGAGCTCTTCGAGATTCTGCATAAGCGCCGGTGAAGATTTAAATCATGACAAAACCGTTTTCAATAAGTATGATGGATATTAATTGACAATTTTACAAATTGAAACAATAACAAAGACATTTACGTATACCAAAAAAAAAAAAGTTAATACTCTGTCGCATATTACTTTTGTCGGAATTATTTTTTTTTTAGTGTGAAAATTCTTGTATTTTAAAATTAATTTTTAAGCAGATTATTTTTCTTTGACATGTCTAGCTATTTTACATGATAAATGAAAGTTGGATGGTAAGAGGTGAGTTCTTTCGTAGGGGGACAGCAAAGCAGCAGTTGCTCATTTAAAACTATTAAATATAATATTAATTTTTATTGAAATGTAGATATATGCAGTTTTGTTCAAGTTGTGAGGACAATACAAAAAGTAGAAACCAAAGGAGAAAGGGAAACAACATACTTAAGAATGATATAGGTAAATACACATTGTTTGCCGTGATCTAATTAAAACAACCTTCAATAAAATATAAAATTGCTCATTTAAAACTACTAATATAATCTACTACTACTAACTCCAAAAGTAAATTTAGAATGTTTAAGGCGTGCATTCAGCTCTCTCCCATTTTATATAATAACCTTCCTGTTGAACTCCGTGATTGTACAATTGAAGTTACTTTCAAATGTAAATTTAAGAGATATATTTTAAACCCTGATTAGTTTTTTAAAGGTATTCTTTTATAGTACATAGATATATTTTATACAATTTGTTAAACCTTTTAAAATTATTTTGCTTGGTGTTAAATTATCTGTTTGGATGTATTGAACTGTCTTGTATTTTACTTTTTTTAAAGAGGGCCCCTGAATATCTGCTGACCTTCTAGGCTTAGCTGGAAGGGTTACTCTCTTTCAATATGGTTTAAATAAACAAAAATTATAATAAAAAAAAACCCTTTTATTGAAATATAGATACATGCAAATAGAAACAGAAGGAACCAGGAAAAGAATATTTTAAATGCATATAAATAATAGTGTTTCTATATTTTTTTTTAATAGATTTTAAAATTGTTGGCAAATAATTTAAGGCTTATAATTAAGGAGTCAGTAAAATATCTAAAACTGAATTATCTATGAGTCATTGGAAACTTATCTATTTACTTTATATTTTAATTTATTCAATTTTCAGGTATAATTACCACTTGTGGGTAGCCAGAAATAATCAATTCATTAACATAAATGTTATGAATAGCACTGTCAAGTGTTTTCCCAATTAAAAGTACCTGGGAAAAAAAATAAAGAAAAACATAGAAAATTCTAATATTCTAAAAAGTGAGCTATTTAATGTTTTTATTGAATGTATGAGGAATTTTTTTTCTAGATTTTATCGCATATAATATTTTTCTTTTGTAAGACTTCCACATCTTTTTATAAATTTCTGAATAATCTCATGTTTTTTATTTATGAAAGATAGGAAAGGCCTCGTTTGGGCTTTCACCCATTTCATTAAAGATAGGGAAGAGGTCTTGTTCACTCTTTCAATAATTCAAGTATATAAGCACACTACCTTGTTTAATAGATATATCTAAAATTTCAAAACAAATATTGTTATTATTATTATTATTAATGTGATTGTTATGTGATTTGTGTTATGGTGTTTGATCTGGATTTCGGTGAACTGTAAACACATCTTTACCTCTAAGGCCTAAAAGAAAAAAATGTTATGTCGGCGTAACCCGACCGACCCTAAAAGATCGGACTGACCCTACAAATTTTTATTTAAATTTCACGATAAAAGTTTACGTGAACAAAGTGGTCATGGTCGGGCCTCACCCAAAATGTTTCAAAAGTGGTCCAAGGACGAAAAATATGACAATTAAGGGCTTTAAAAGCTTATTTAATTGATTTTATAGATTTCAAGTTTTTTGCTGAATTGTGACAGTTAAAAAAAAAAAATTCTAAAAATCTACATACCATAATTTTTGGTGCCCGTTTTTTTTTAGGCCTAATGCCGGACAATTGAGTTCCGCAGTATCCAGGTGTCCAGAACCGGGTATATTTAACGTAAAATTGCATAAGATACACGATACAAGATTATTTTCGGAGTGGTGTTGTTTATCTTAGTTGTTTTTCTAATCACTAAAAAACAACTCCGCATCCCTAATGCTCATAATGAGTCTTCTTTTATAAAGCATCATCTATCCTTTAATTGGTTAAGTTACTGGCTGCTGCATGTGAAACAAATTTAAAAAAAATTATTGTCACTTTGTATATCAAAATACTGTAGACATAAAATTGGTTTTCCTGATGTAAAATGCATAAATAACTATTAGTTTTATTGTTATATAGTTTAAATGTACACATTGCATTGTTGAACTGTATCATTTGCAACTCTCTCAGTATGTTTTATTGCTTTTGACAATAATAACAGATTTTTAGTCATAAAATGAAACAGCCAACATATTGGCAAAAATCAATAAATTGAATAGTGTGAATTCTTATTATATTGAAATAATTCCATCTGGTTATATAACAGTGATTATTTTTGATCAGATTGTAAGAAAAGTAAGTGATTTTATATCAAAATTATGATTTTGTCAACTTACTATAAAAATTTGTAGACAGGCCTAAGCTCTACTATGCCCTGTTCAATGGTGTGTGTGCAGCAGTGGTGGCTCTAGGATATATTTCCAAGGGGGGGGGGGGCTGAGCTGTCCAACAGGGGGGACTTGAGATGGTAGGCCCAAGCTGGGAGAAGGGTTTGAGAGGGTGTTCCCCCTCCCAAATGAGATTTTTTAAGAATAGGAACCTCTGGATGGCCAGAAATGACACTCTCTGATTGTGACAGACATGTGTTGGCTTGGCGTGGGCCTATTTTTAAATATTTTTTAGTCCGACGAGCTCTGTCCAATGGGGGGGGGGGTTGACCTATCCGGTGGGGGGCTTATGCCCCAGCTGCCCCCCTGCTAGCACTGCCACTGGTGTGCAGGGGTGCAGGATGCATTTCCTCCATTCCCTACCAGAAAATTTCTAAGCCAAAAAATTTACTCAAGTTGTTAAAATCACCTATCACATATATTTGCTAGTGTTCACGCCAAATTAATAAAACTGTAATAAATAATTACAATTATTTCATAATTATAATAATAAATAAGTTTTTAATATAGAAATTTCCATATATTTTAAAAAAAAATTTATTGTTTTTTAAAAAAAAACCCCTTTTTTCAAAATAAATGAATGTTAAATCTTTATCTGTACATAATGATTCAAAACAAAAAGGTAGAATAAATTGTAATAATATATAACAATGCCCTTGACAAAATAAAATTCATTAGATTTAATTGATTCTTTGAATCTAATCACAGATATCGACTGTACCATCTACTTTAACTATGCAAGCTTTGTACGAAATCTGCTGTGTTATTTAAAGAGTGAATTTCATTCATTACATCGGATTGTTGGAAAGCTTAACGGATTCATCGTTTGTGATTAGTTGCTTTTTTCTCAAATATACGATAAGCCGAGTACTTAAAACATTTTCCCCAATTAGTTCGTAGAAAGAAAGACGAATGACAGAAATTATCTTCTGTGGTTTAATTTACAATAGTCGGAGAGCAATGCATGCTGGTATTGACAATTACTACAGTATATAAAACAGAAACTTTAGCTGAAAAATGTTGTTTAAATTTTCTACTAATACAGTACTATTTCTTTACTCTTTATTGCAAATTTGTATAAAAAAGTTGAAGTTTAACAATAACCAATAAATAAAGGAACACAAGGACACACAGAAAGAACAGCAATACATTCAGAATATAAAAACAGTGCATAGTTAAAAATACTGTATAATACACAAATTAAGAAATTGTAAATAAGTAAAATTTTAAATATAGTAAGAAAAATTAAGTACAATTATTTTTCTATTTTTTTTAATTTACTAAAATTCTATGTAAAATAATTAATAATTCCATTAAAAATTAATTATTAATGCTTAAATACATTGCAATTTATTTAATTTAAATAAATTGTTTAAATAAATATTTAAATTAAAATATAAAAATAAAGAGTTATACACGATTTAATAATACTTATATTAAGTAAAAAAATTTATTGAATAGTTATATAGCTGCATTGCCAAGGAAGTGTTCCTAAAGTTGTCCATATTATCATACTTTACTGTATGTGACAAATTTGTGTGATGTGCCCTTATATGTACATGATAATGTCATATTATGCCCAAATATGGGCATATTACATTTATTTGTCATTTATTAATCAGGAAATCATAGTGAATATTCAACCAATGTATATTTCTGTATTTATTTCACAGTAATTTATTTATCATCAACATCAAATGGGTAAGGTGGATGTGGACTGACAATACTGTACTATGCAGTGTCATAGGGCAGTACAGAATTACAAATGTATTGAGCCACGTGCTGCGCATTACAAATAAAATAACATCCAAACATCACAGGTCTCCCTCTAATTAATGACCACTTTTCTGTGGTCCCATATTAACAAATTGCTTTATCTTTAATTTCTTAATCTCTTGATTCACTGTAAATCTTTATCATTCTACTTAGAGATTAAAGCTTTTAAATACCATGAAAACCCCGGTCCCAAAAGAGGTCCTTCAATTAAATGGAGACATGTATATTTGATTGTTGTTATTTTGCCTAAAAATAAAATTAAGGTTAAATCAAGTCAATTATAAATTATGAAAAGAAACAAATTTTTTACATAGCTAATTAAAAAAAAAAAAGAGCAACGATGATTTGCTTTACTAACTTCAAAATCACATTAACAACAAAGCATCATTCTATTAATTATGTTAATTATCCTGTGTTAATTAGATTCACTAGTTAATCATTTGGAGCTATAGTAATAAGAAACATCTTACAAATGCCACTCTAATGCAATAACAATCCTCCACTAACTCCTTAATTATTATAATTTCTAAAAGCATTGTTTCGAACAGAAAATCAATATGCTAGATCATAGCCTGGAGTTGCTTTGAATAGACGGATTTCAGAGATAACGTGTCCATATAAAAGTACAAGTAATAACACCTAGTTTAATGAAGGGTTGTATAAGAAAAGTTCTTCTTTAACGTCTTGCAGAAATGTGTTAATAAGTTTACAGAAAATTAAGTATAAAAATATTATTACAGTATTAAACTATAAAAAAGAAATATTGCATAAACAGTTCTACAAGTTTTTACTCATTCCCTACCTGGGCAAACCATTTTGTATATTTGTTTTTCCCAAATCATATAATAATTAACTATTATTAATGAAAATGCAGATCTCACACCAATTAAAGGCAATTGCAGTACTATTAACCATTAACACTGACAAAAAAATGAACTTGATCACCAACAATTTAAACCATTAAAAGTACAGAAGTAAAGCATTTAAATTAAAGAATAAATTAGTGCAATTTCAGTAAAAAACATTAAAAAGATACAAGTCCTTTACTATTAACCAATAACGCTGACAAAATCAATCTCGATCACAAACAATTTAAACCACTGAATTAAAGCATTTAAATTAAAGAATAAATTCTTGAACTTTCAGTATAATATACATAGAAAAAATAGAAGTCCTATTAACCATTAACACTGACAAAAATGGACTTGATCACAAACAATTTAAACCATTAAAAGTACAGAATTAAAGCATTTAAGAGGATTTAATAATTGTAAACTGTTGGTGATAAAGTGATAAAACCACAATGAACCGGTATATATTGCGGCTGAAGTATCTCAAAATCTATATCAATGATTGAAGAGATAGCACATTCGTCGTGTAAATCATCCAAGCGTGACAATTGTCAATACAAAATGCTTAGTGTATTATTACATATGGCACAAAAACACTTTATTACACAATCGATAGTGGGCAATGAAATCATATAGATCTAAAGACTTAGCGTATTGTCCGAATCCCTAGCCTGACAAAGTAAGCCAAATGCTTATTCTATTGACAGCCAACACGCAATAAAGTAGTCACTATGTCTCAAGAGAGCCCACTTTTTATGAGCCGTGAAAGTAAAGTTGAATTAGGCATGCTTAAATCTATATACTTTCAGATTTGGATAATGAGCGATCAATTGTGAACGCTACTGCTGATCAGATATCCGGCAATTCAGTAGTTCAGCTTTCGAAGGTGTTCTGATAAATGGTTTCTGATAATTGGTTCATCCGTTATCTCTTTATCAGAACAGATAACACTCTTGTCTTCTAATTTAGGACAAATTATCAAAAATTACTCTCCATTTAAACTTAAAAGTACTAGTTAATTATAATTTATAAATGTATATATATCATAGAGGGAAAAAAAGTTAAAATATTCAGGTAGATGTTTCTATTTTATAATTACTCTCGTAACATTTGTATACGGATTTGTATACATGCAATGAAATTATTCTGCTTTGTATTTCTTTAGATGGACACTAAAGTGTGAATCTTGATATCAAACATTTTGTGGCTCTTCTTACATACAACTAAAGGGCAACATTGATACAATAAAATATCATTAATAATAATTATAATTTCAAACCAGACCATTCCGAAACTAGCAGCTTGACAAAAATTCTTGGAGACTTGGGGGAAAATATAGGGACCTACTGTATAAGCCTGTAGTAGAATGGCTGGGCCCCTTTGAAGACTACATGCCTTGGCTCTCCCAACAGCATCTGTGTGTAATCGTTTATTTAATACCTCCTTGGTGTAATTTACCCTCACTGCCTCAAAATTTCATAGTACAATTTGAAAATGTGAAACTAATTATATAATCTATGTATCAGTTGAAATTCAAAGCATATACTGTGGTATACCAAGATATATTAACATGGGTTTGTTGGAGGGGAAGAATTAATATTATAATACACAAATATAGGAACAGTGCTTCTCTAAGATTAATGATATTTTATTATACTTTCAACAATATTGTATCTTCTCCCAATACTATATGTACAATCTATTTTACACATGGGATGTAATAGAGGAAGAGAAAATAATAGTACACAAAGAACATTTATTACATAAACAGAGTGATAAAGATAAATAAAAACCTCGTTTCTAAAGCCAACACAATATATATTGTAATTTATCTACATATGTACGCATATGTACATTACAATAAAAACATTTGGCTATTATCCTTTGCAAATCTCTCAAGGCCGGAAAAAAATCATTTCAAACTAATAAACAACCACAACAAATGTTTGTACTAAATGAAATAAAATTTCTACAATCGTTAAAGTTATTGTAAATAAAGAGGTGGGTGAGCTGGATTTGCATGCAATAGAAGAGGCAGAATTCAAGGTGAACTATTTCATCGTACTTTATTATCATTTAATATAGGTTACCACAAATGGACTGTATCAACAGATGGCTTCAAATCTATAACAATTGCGATTGTATAATACAATCATTAAATTGACTAACAGGAATAAATTAAATATAATAAAACAACTGTTAGTTATTTCAGGATTGTAGATCTTTATTCCTCAGGTCATAATCTTTTGAAGACTATTTTCTATGAGCAAATATTGGAAATTGAAGAGTGACAAAGAGGCAATATTTCTGAAGGACACAGTGTTATTGGCAGCCAATTTGTTAGTATAAGTTTAAAGCCAGCAAACTGTGATTGGTGTTTTTTCTCAGATAGTATCATGTATTTCGTATAATAAAAAATGAATATGGTATACCTGACACCCCTACTGAAGAACAAAACCAAATTCCAAATTATTTAAATGATGATACAGATTCACATGCCAGCTTTGGTTCCCGGGCATCTCCCCTGATCCATAGAAAAGCCTTTTTCCATAGAAATTGGGAAGGGAAGACTTCACCCCTAAGTTGTTTATGTATAATATTCTTTAGTGCACATACTAGTAATAAACTCAGCAATTTAAGTTCAATTGAAGATGAAGTTCATTTTACCAAATTGTACATTCTATTCAGAAATGTTTTTATTCCTAAACTGAATTATACTCTTCTTTAAATCGATAAACAAATACCAACTTTACACAAAAAGTAGTAAAAGTTTGTTTAATTTGCTTATAAAATTAAAACAGAATACTTATCAACAAAAATGAATTATTGGAATACTATATAATACGCAAAATATAGGGACCAGGGGAATATGTAATGCTAAGAAATAAAACCCAGTCTAGGGTAAAGCTAACAGGCTAAACTAGGGTGTTATACACCCATTGGGAATGTCTATCACAATAATAAAAAAAGATTCTTGATTATGGGCCTTCCCAAGCTGTGGATGATATTGGGCTGCTTTGGCTTTGGGGGAGCGAATAATTGAAAATGCGGAAATGATCCCTATTCGAATGAAAACTTAATGGTAATTTTTAGTATTTTAACCCACTTAGTGGAACTAATTTGTTGCCATGAGGGGGAGGGAAGGGGGTGCACCCCCTGCTCCCACCCCTAGCCTACATCCATGGATATTTAGCACAAATAAAAAAAATCATTAAGCATTCACATCTGACCAGGCATTCATACAGCTAAGCGAAAAGGGACACTCTTCAATTTCGAATATTCTTGCTCGGACAAAATATTCTTCAAAAGATTATGAAGAAAAAAGATCTACAATCCTGATTTGAACCCATGATCATTCAACTAGAAACCTGACACCTTACTGCCGTCCACCATATGCATCCACTCAAAGATTCTGATATTATTTTGATAAAAGAACTGATTTTCTCTTAAAAGCGCTTTAATATTTGTAATCATATTTTGCTATTTGATACCGAATATCAACCCATGGTGATCGGATGTGAAATATGTATCTGAAAATATTAAATAAAAAAAATAAATATTAAATATAAACAATATACAACTTGTAAACAAAGAATGATAAAAAATAAAATACAGCAAACCATCTTCTACAGCTGGCTGTTTTATTAAAACAACTTATTATTGAACAATTATGCAGAACTGTAGATAGAAAATCAAAGTCCTTATTCATAAATACATTGTACTATATGCCAAACAGCATAAAGAAATGTTTTATTCCAAAATCAATAGGTTGTTTGTGTACAATTCAAAAAATATTAATAATAGCTGATTCACAATAAAATATTGGCAGATGGTAGACAGCAAGGGATAAAATTATGATTTTAAACAATGCTGTTCAAAAGTTGTAGACGTGATATTGATGGTAGTAATTCACTAACTGATAACATGGGTTTCTTTTTTACTTATATACATTTTTAAAATAATTCCATTGATTTTAAAATGTTAAAAAAAGCCTTAAATATTAAAAAAAAATAACATTTATTTGCTTATTTAAATGTTTAAAACAAAAGTAATCCTCTTCCAATAAAGCAAATATAAAGAAATATTACAGATATTTTATTTCTAAAATCCTTAAATTAATCACCAAATAATTTAAGGCATTTTGCAAAGAATACATTAACAGAATTATCTATTAAAGTGGGTTTTGCATCAGGAGATTTATAGGAATTATGTTTTTGCCCTACCTAACGTTTTATCTTACAAGTGATTCTGGTGGGAATCGAACCCATGATCTTCAGATAACTAGCCTGGTATCTTAACCACTAGACCAAGCTTGGGCTTAGTGACTAGTGTTGAATCCAATCACCAAGTAGCATGAGGTACTGCCAATGCTATGCGATGGGGGTTAGTATTATCTATGTCTGTTATATTGTGGGGAAAATCTTATTTAATTTAACATTAAAAGCCAAGTAACAACTAACTTAAATTATAAAGAAATTTTATTAAAAAGCATACTTTTGATGATTATAAAGTTAGCAATTCAAATAATGTATTTATTTTTCAAATTCATTCTCAACACAGACAGTATACAATAGAACCCCTACAAAAAAATAATACCTCAAAACCAAAAAAAAAAACAAAAAAAAAAAACAAAACATGTTTTCCTTGACCCCTAAGTAGGGATTGACTGTAACTTTCAAACCTGGTACAGGTCTCCCTCCAGTAAAAGACCACTTTGGGACCGGCATTTTCATGGTCTTAGAGCTTCGATCTCTAATTAGAATAATAAAAAAAAAAAAGACATTTGTTAATATGGGATGACAGAAAAGTGGTCATTAATTGGAGGTGGTCTTTAATTGGAGGGGTCTTAACTTAGAGGGAGACCTGTATACTTTCCTTCATTTCCTTTGTATAAAAAGTGTCCCATAACTCCTTAATAGTAGCTTCAAATTCCCAAAAGAGGAATCTACTGCATTTTTCAAGTCTAGTCTTGATGTTATCGTCATTGTTTTCCCCCGTTTCTATTCATCATAGTTTTTTTCCTTTCATTTCCACTTCATTTCTGTTTTCCCTCTATCATTTAGAAGAACCAGGAAAAAGAATAGGAAGTGGCCCAGAATAATCGTCATAAGAGAATAGAGATCCACTATCTAACAGAAACTTGTATTTCATAATGAATAGGACTCCTGAAATATCTGTTGAGTGTATTTCTAAAAAATATCTACTGCCCTCTATTTAGATAAATCACAGCAATATTTTTAAGCTAGTCAATATCAATATTTTTTTCTCATGTTTCAGTCCCTATACAATAGAATCAATTAAACTCTCAACAGATAAAGTAAACAATATCACAAAATTATGTAAATATTAATATACCAGACAAAAAATATTGGTGAAATAAAAGAAATATATATTGCTTATTATCTGAAGAAAACAATCTGAATAATACCATAAGGTTAATATCAACAAGCATACAGTACATCTAATGATTATGTTTGATACAGTTGACCATATGGACCGTATAATAAGATTTCCGTAGAAAAACAAATTATTTATTTGGTTAAAATAATCTAGAATATTGTTTGATAAAAATGAGTCATTCATCATATTATTCGCAGCGTGGGGAGGGAACTTTACCGATGGAAAGCGGTGAAAAAAACCACAATTTGTCGGGGAGAAAAAAAAAGTATATGTTTTTTCTACATATCAGTAAACACCAAAATCGATTAAATATGCATTTGAAACCCCTAAATTATCATATTTTTTGGGGGATTTTCCCCCAGAACACTTTAGAGAGACTTTCAACGACTCCCCCTTTTTTCCATTGGGAACATCGGACCCCCCATTGGGCAAATCCTGGCGCTACCACTGATGGAGTGATCAAGACTACCTCACTCCCACCATGGTTGGGACTGCGGTATATATAACTCTAACATTATATTTGAATGCAATTTTATTTTCCCCTTATTTCTTATTAGGGTGAAGGGAGATATTGTGGACTACACCCCACCCCCAACCCCATTACATCTGCCTTTGATTCTCTAACAATCAATCAGTAATCCCAATCAAATTTATCAGCTGATCAATCAATTATTTAATCAAATTAATCAATCAATAAGTCAGTCAATCAAAATATTATTTATAACTAAATCTACCATAGATTTGTCCATGTACAAAGATATTAGAACTGTCTGGAACATATGAATTGACATTTTTAAATGTAAAGAGCTTGGGACCTCTCACTGTATCTATACAATTCCACAAAGATAAGTTTTAAAGGGCAGATTCAACATTATTTGTTTATATTCTGAAGTTCTGTATGAGAAGGTACCTTATTTCTAGGTTGAGTTTAATCTCTGACACTCGCATCACATGGCAGACTGTTATAGTTTTTTCCATGACGTCATACTGGAAATCATTTTGAAATCTTTGTTACAATAATGAAATACAAATAAAAAATGTTCTTTCAAAAACAACTAGGAAGAAACTACAATAGTATACTATCAGGGGCGGATCTAGAGATGTCAAAAAGTGGGGTCGATGTAGATAATACTACCCTAGGGGTCGTGGGCCACAAAATTTTTGTGTTCCAGACGCTCGAAAATAACCTCTGAGGCGTTTTGGGCGATAAATTTTTTCATTTTCTTTCTTTTTTTTTTTTTTTTCTTTACCTTTCAAAAGGGAGCGGGGGCTGGGGCCACAGCCGCCCCCAAGTCCATCTCTGACCATGCATTAACAATAGTGCTGGAAAAAACACCACTGATATAGACACAAATACAGTGGAAACCCTTCCTTTGGGACACTCCTAATCAGGAATGCCCCTATTAAGAGGACACTTTTCTGTGAAAGAACGGGAAATACATCATTTAACACTACAGCCAACCCCTATTAAGAGGACACACCTATTAAGGAGATGGGGAAAATTTCTGAGTGTGCCAAATGCCAAATCAATACAACTTCACACATATTAAAAGAAACACTTTTATTTTTTTATTGTATCAAAACAATGGTAGTCACAAAATAAGAAAAAAATAATTCAAATTTATATTTTGGCACCCTTTCAGCAATGAACTTAACATCAAACCAGAATTTTGGTGACCTTTAGGCATTGGTATATGCCTAGTACATATTTTACTTCGTATAAATACAATTTGCCAATTTTGACCATTAACCATGGGAATTTCTTGTTTTGTGTATTTTCATATAGGATTCCAATCTATAACGTATAGCCTGCACCCCGATTTCTAAGTTATTAACATCTATTAATAGTATTCTATCTTGTGCATCCAATAGAAAGCTCAATATTTATGAAATAAAAAAGAACATTTGGCAATTAACATTGCACTTGAATCAAGATAACAATATCGGGAACGGGAAACGCTAATTAGACCATGGTTGTTCTCACTGTAGTAGGCCTAATTTCTTTGCTCAAGCCAAGGTCCAACACTTGGCCAGCCGACAGGCCTGTGGGGACAGAGTCTACGGGATCTATTTAATATTCAAGTATGGATAAGTATAGTGTCTTCCAAAATATGATTTTTTAATCATTAGTATTATTGCACAGTACAAAATTGTCTACGTACATCCTTATTTCTTTCTTATATTTAGTTTATATTATTTCATTATCATTGTGATTTTTTTTATATACAAACTTACATAATTCAATTAACAAAATATATCGCCTGATATATTTTAATAATCACATATTGACTGCTATACATTTATGTATTTATAGGCCTACAATATACTTTAACTGTTTACTGTTTATAATTACCATTTGTTTAAGTTAATTATGTGTATTGAATTACATATAGATATTGTGTAAATTAAATTAAACTATTTTGTTAAATTATGTTCCTTTTATTGTTTACTTAGTTTTATAATTATTAATGTGTATTTATTTATTATTATTGTAATGTTTATTATATTATATTTTGTTTTTATTTTCAGGTGGTTAAACTTGTATAGTTGTAATTTCATTATTTGTTTATTATTGAATTACACATTGATATTTTGTAAAAATTATTGGGTTTTTGGGGTTTTTTTTCTTAAGCAGCACATTTAAAATCATTAAACAAAAACAACTTTATTCAAACAATTTTATTAACTATAGTATTTTTTATACAACTTGTGTATAAATGTAGGCCTATATATAAATGTACATACGATTGTTTTTTTTATCTTTTAAATTGTTATGCAAATAGTATTGATATTTATAATTGTGTTTGAAATGTAAATTTGTGTTTTGATATGAGCGAATTTGCACCATTACAAGTTTCTGTCAGGACAAATCAATTCTGAATCTGAATAAAAACACATTTTAAAATAAAATTAATAAAATAAAATTTCAAAAAATTCAACACCCCATTCCGCTGCTCTTATTATTTTTAGATATCTTGTCAATAACTGCATTACATTTGTTATCATCTTTTAACCTATTACAACCCTTGGACATGATAAACTGTCATTAACCTATCAATTACATACACATTCAAAAAAGCTGGTGTTATTCCTTACTACGAAATCAATATCAAAACCTACGAGTTTGTTG